GCCAGTGCTGGATTTCTCTATAATGCTATGCTAAGATCTGTAAAAATTGGATCACCAACATCTTTCATTCATCATAAAGGTCAAAAATCTAGCTTTTTTTTTTGCTTGTTGGGATTTGATGTGCTACTTTTAAAGGGCCAAAAGGTAATATAACTTACATGTTCTTAAGATACCTAACTTGCCTTTTTAAAATTGAAAGCAATAAATATAAATGGGTTCTTCCCTACTTACTTTCAGAAAGCAACCCTTCACATGCCACATAAAGACTATGTTACCTTCTAGCTAACATGTTGTTCATAGTTACAAGTTGTATATACATTGTAAATATTATTTGGAAATGATTTGTGGCATATTTAAGGCACTGCAAAGCAACTGAAGACAACTTCATTCTGATTTTATTGATTTGAGCTCCTGCTGATATATGTAATGTATAACTAAGTAACTAACATGAAACTTCAAATAGGTACTTAAATAGTTTAATAATTAAATGTCTGATAAATGAGGTTACAGTATCCCTTGTTCATGATTATAAGAGTTTGTAGAGTTCTATTGATTGAAAACTAAACCAAATACCTGCATTTTTATCTTTATTTGCCTTTATTATTTTCATTTGCTTGGTTAATTCTTTAGCAAGTTCAACTGTTACCATGTAAAACAGGGGTGTCAAACTGGCGGTCCATGGGTTGGATGCATCACACGCAGGCCATGCCCTCCCCAGCTCTCCAGCGAATGGGAAAAGCGTCACGAAACATCACATGATGGCGAGTTTGACACCCGGGATATAAAACTTCCTTGCTTAACCAACACACAAGCAAATCTAAAATTTGTAAATCAGATGATGCAATTAAAATTCAGAGAATTTGATTTTAGAAAATTGGGCTAAGATGGTGAAATTAACCGTGATTAAACACTGCTCAGGTACAAGTTGGTTAAAGCCTTCTGAAAGGTACCATATGGCTGAGTCCAATTGGGAGTTAATTCCTCTTTACGAATTGGGGTACTACCACCTGCTTTTATTGATTGTTTGATGTACTTCCCTTCTGCTTTGAAGGAGACAATGGTACAGTCCCGTGTCAAGAGGCCATCTTTGGATCCAATCATTGTAGATAACTCATACAGTCTCCAATCTTCCATTCTGGAGAAAGGTTGTTGTGAAGGTAGCTGGCATGTAGCTTCAGAGGGCCTTGGGTAAAGCAGATTGTCTGGACCCTTCTCAGTTGGGGTTCAGGCTGGGTTATAGCACCAAGATGGCATTGATCATGCTTCCTGATGACTTTTGGAGTGTCTGGAATTGGGGTGGTACAACAGTTCTGAATTTCTCAGCAGCTTTTGATACCATAAACCATGATATCATTCTGGAATGAACTGCAAAGCATGGTTTTCTGGTGGTTCTCTTTTCTCCATGGCTAACTGTAACTGGTGGGTGGTCACACCCTAGGTCTCCACAGCTTGGGATGCCTCAGGGATGAGGTCTCTCCCTCACTTTAAGGTCCATATGAAAGCAATGGTTGGGTCACCCAATGGCACTGGGTACAGAATTGTCAGTATGCTGGTGGTACTCAGTTATACATCCTGTGCCAGGCAAATGATGCTGTTGCAGGGCTGACCTGGAAGCTATCAGTTTGTGGAGGGAGATGAACTAACCTCAGCTCAACTCTGGCAAGATGGAGTAGTTTGGGGTTTTGGAACCCTCCTGGGTCGGATGAGTTCTCAACTCTGACTCTGAGGAGGGCTGCATTTCCCTTGACCAAGCTGGTATGCAATTTGCAGCTCCTTTTGGACTCATGGCTCTGCTTGATGAGAAGCGGCAACCATGGCTAGGGATCCTTTGCCGAGATTCATCTTGTGTGTCAGTTGTGCTCTTGTTTGGGAGGCCTTGCTCACAGTCATTCAGATTTTAGTCACCCTCCCCTGGCTGGATTACGGCAATGTACCAGGCTCCCCTTGAAGACCACTCAGAGTGTATAACTGATCCAGAAAGCAGTAACGGACACAGTATTGGGCACCCATGTTACACCTTTATTGTGTGAGCTGCACTGGCTCCCAGTTTTTTTCTGGGTAGAGTTCAAGTTGCTGGTTATTATCTTTAAAGCCTACTTACATGAAACCTGATGATTTGTGGGACTATATTTCCCTATCCATCTGTCTATCCCACTAGATCAGATAGGGTGGGCCTGTTCCAGATCCTCTCCCTGAGATTTTGCCATATAATAGTACCTGGAAGTGTCTCTTTGCCATGGCTGTCCCTGCCTTCTATCTTGTGAAAGGGTGGAGGCCTGTCCAAGATTCGACAGGCTCCTATCCTTTAGTCTTTTGGAAGTATCTGAAAACCTGGCTTTTTCCTGAGGCTGTGAGAGTGTGTGGGTAGAAAATATGGAGGGAGGTTGGCTGTGCCTGCTGTGGGGCATGCCAAGGGGCATGATTACAGTGCAGGGTTTTTGTTTTATTGTTTTCAAGATTGATTGTTTTATTTACAGGCTATTATGTTCTTAAATCTCCTTTAACAAGTGCTATCAAAATTTAATTGTTCGGTTTTTAGATGTGATTATGAAGCAATGAGATCCTGCCTCTTTGCTCAACATATGTATACAGGTAGTCCTTGACTACCCAACAATCATTCATTTATTGACTTTCAAAGTTATAACAGCACTAAAAAAAACCTGATTTAAAACTGGTCCTCACACAACTGATGCAGCATCTCCATAGTTATGTGATCAAAATGTGGGTGCTTGGCAACGAGCACATATTTACAATGGTTGTAGCATCCTGGAATCATATAATTGCCATTTGCAACCTTCCAAGTTGGCTTTTGACAAGCAAAGTCAATGTGGAACCCAAGTTTACCTAAACACCACGATTCACTTAACAACTGCAGTGATTTGCTTAACAACCATAAGAAAAATGTAAAATTTGACATGATTCACTTAACCACCATCTTGCTAAACAAGAGAAATCCAGGTCTCAGTTATAGTTCGAAATCAAGAACTATCTTAGTGAGCTTGTGGTTTATACAAATTAATTTCCTGAATTTGCATGATGTCCTGCAAGTTTTTCATGTATACTGAGTTTACATAGCAATCCAAGTTTAAGCACAGATGGTTAATGTGAAGTTTAGCATGTTGGGGGAATATAATCACAACATAAGGTAAGAAGATTAATCTAACAGCCTCCCATCAAGGTTCTGTTATGGCACCTACACTATTCAACTTATACGTATCAAGATATGCTGGTGTTAAGGGAATGCAAATTTGGATTAGCTGAAGATTTGCCATAGCAGTACAAGAAAAACACATGGAGGTGTGTTTAGACAGCTTCCTTTCCAAAGATCTTAAAATCTTGGGAGATTCTTCACTGGCTGGAGACTTACTCCTAGCACCAGTAAAATGGTACCTATGTGCTGCCACTTAATAACAAACTAGCATATGAAGCCTTGACGGTCTACTTAAACAACAACTTACTCTTCTACAATCCCCATCCAAAGTACCTTAGAGTAACACTGGACTGGACTTTCTCCTCTAAAATACACCTAGAGCATGGCTATCAAACTCGCAACCCACGGGCCAGATGCATCATGCGCTTACCATGCCCCGTTTAGTGAAGGGGAAAAAGTCACGATAATCACATGACATCACCATGATGACACAAGTTTGATATCCCTGATCTAGAGAATACGGTGGCAAAAATCAATACTAGGAACAACATACTCCAGAAATTATGTGGAATTAAATGGGGAGCTTCAGCTGCCAGCCTCAGGTGATTAGCACTAGGGCTGGTCTACTATGCAGCATAATACTGTGCCCTGTATGGTTTAAAAACTGCCATACTAGTTAAGTTAAAATCCAGTCTCAACAACATCATGAAGATTCTACGTGTATGTACTAAAACCACTTCGACTTGCTGGCTCCCTGTTCTGAGCCTTATAGTGCTGCCAGCTTTTACGAAGGCAAGATGCATTAGTGAGAGAATAGAGCAAAAAATTATGAACAACTCACTCCTACTGATGAATGCCAACCTTCCTCATTTATCAGCCAGACTCAGATCCAGGAACTTGCACAATATCTGTCCAATAACTTTAACATAGATTCCCAATGGAAACCAATGGGTCACTGAATGCCGAGACATAGGAAGACATATAAATGACCCCACAAAAAAAAACACCAGGCTTTGAACTACCACATCAGCAATGGACAATCCTGAATAGGATTTGCACCTCACACGATGTCTGCTGGGACTCACTGTTTACATGGGGCTTAGTATCCTCCCTTCAGTGTGACTTGTGGAGTCCCACATCAAACTGTAGATCACATCGTGACTGGATGTAAGCTGAGGGCATATACCAGTCCAGCATGATTTTTTTCATTCAAATGTTGCACTTCAATTGGCCTAGATATTGGTAATTGAACATTTTGAACTTTGTGACATTTATATTTTATTGTGTTTTACTAATCTGGGTGAAATGTTAATACATATTGCTAGTCCATATGTGATATGCCATATGCTAAATAACATGATGTACTTTTGTAGCATTACAGGTTAAATAGTATGACCTGACAAGTTTACTATTCACATAATGAGTTATTTTGGGACATAAGCCCCTGCAACAAAATCTAGGCTATGTGAGTTGGTATCTATACCTTGTGTTACTTGGGAGAATCAGTAGTTAACTTTTGTGTGGTTTTAAATGGGGGACATAAAACGGAGACAGTGAGAATAAACATACTTAGTCCATTAACCAATTAAAGCCAATTACAAGGCAAACACATTATCTGTAATTTACAAATAACGCAAAGTTATTTAGAAGACCATAAAGGGTGACTTCTCCAACCTCACAGGCCCGGCGGCCATTTTGAAAAGACAATGCCCTCTTCGCGAGCGAGTAAAACTCCCTGCGCCCAGCAGGGTGCGCGCACGTTAAACAGGGGCGCGGACGATACCCCTGGGTGCGCGCACGCACTCCGGCTTTATCCTCGCTCCGCCATTCTCTTCTGAGTTATGTAACGGAGCTGCGCGCTCTCGTAAGCCGAAGCCCAATGGGGAAGCGGCTTAAGGGGGAGGGGAAAGCAGAGCGTGCGCGCTCTCGCAAGCCAAGGCGCGACCCCGCGGCATTGCGTGCGCGTTCATTCGCCCCCTCCCCCAGTCTTTCTGTCTCGGCCGTTGCGGTCTCTTTTTCATCTTTCCGCCTCCCCACTTACTCTGAGGTGCTTGGAGCGGAGCGGACCCCGCCGACTCGCCATGGCTGACGAGAAGCCCAAGGTGAGCGAGGGAGAGAGAGAGAAAAAAGGGCTGCGGGCCGGTACGGAGGAGGAGGGGGAGGGAAGAGGAGGAGGAGGAGAAGGGGGAGAGCGCAGCGCAGGCTCTGCCGCGCCGGTCTTGCGCGCCATTTTCCTCCCCTCCCCCTCCCTGTCTCGGTCCGGGCTCTTTCCGGAGGGCGAGGGAGGAATAAGGGCGCTCTTTCGAGAAAAAAGGGGGTCCTCCTTTCCCCCGATTGTGGGAATCGGGAGCGCTCTTGACTTTGCGAAGCCCTAAGGCCGCGCCGCCTTTCGTTGGGATAAGCTCTCTTCCCTTCCCACGCCTTCCTTCAAAAAAAAAAAAAAAAAATAGGCGCTAGTCCCTCTTGTGCCGGGCGCCGTGCAGCGGCTTGCGGACTGGGAGCGCGTAGGCCTCTTTTGTGTTTTGCTTCTTTCGCATCCGCTCTACGCGCTTCGGGAGCCGTCCAGTAGCAGGTAATCCCTCCCCCAACCTCCCCCCCTCCTCCTTTCATGCCAGCGATAACCGATGATCAGCTTCTCCTCCTCCTCCTCCTCCTCGTTTTAAATACGACTTTGGAGGCGCCAAAATTGCGATGGCTTCGGAGAGCGCGCTCTCTCTCTGGGACTCGCGGAAAGGTCGGGGAGAAAAAAGGCTTTTTCGCTGAAGGAGGTGGGAGAAAGGAGTCCTTTCCGAAGGAGACGGGATGTTAGGAGGCTGGCTTTGTGCATTGCAGTGTGTGGTGCGTTAGGGAGGCGAGATGGGGGCGGCGGGGGGCTTGGTGCGTGTTTTCTGGGAGAGGGGAGAAGTGCTCCGCCGTGGAAGCGAGTGGGGTTTCCGAACAGGAGTGGGTTGAACGCGTGTCTGCGAGGGGGAGGGGATTTTTAAAGTCCATTGGAGGAAAGCCATCAGATTGCTTGATGTAGAGTTCTGCATGCTGTGAATAGAGACAAACAGGGTCACAGTCATCGATCTCCCCAGGCACGGGATGCCTCTTAAAGTTCTCTGCACAGTCTTGTTTTAAAGAAGGGCTGTACTTAGGTTAAAACGGTACCTTTTAAACTGAAATTACAGTGTATCTTCCACTTCCCCGTGGGGTAGCATTGCAGTTTGCTAGAAAAGTGCTTTTTTTTAAAAAAAAAAAGGTGTAAAACATTTTTGCATGAAGACTTATTTGCAGTTTCTTTATGCTAGTCCAATTATTTGGTATTGTTTCCTTTCCATGGTGCCTTGTCTAAGGAAAGCTTCAGAGTTTAAGAATCACTTAGTAGAAGGTGTTCGGGCTTTATTTGAATCTTGTTAGAATGTTAATTTATTCTCTATCTTAAATCTTACCAGAATTAATAAATTAGGCTTATTTTAAGAGGTAGTAATATAAAGCAGTTGGTTAAAAACAAAAACTGGGCTAGTTTTATATGCTTCCCTTGTTAAGAAGCATAACATTTATAAGTTGTGTTTGAGAATTGTGTACATTAAATTAGATATATTAGAATAATAACTTAATTTTTAGCTTAATTAAAAATGATATTGGCAACCAGTGCTCTAAACTTAAAATCCAATGAATAGTTATAGCTTTCCAAGAAATACTACTTTAATTCTTTAAAGGTCAAAGTTTCTATCTTTAAAAATTCCCTTTGAAAATGTCCCAAAGGTGCTTTTTCTAGGCGGCAGTGGTGGACTTCCTTGTTTTTTTCTCTGAAACAGTTTCACTTCTCATCCATGAAGCTTCTTCAGTTTTAACTCAGAACAAAACCAAGAACCTCCAGATGCCTTTTGGAAAAAGCACCTTTGGGATAACCATAACCTGGATGATTGAGAATCTACATAGATGTTCCCCTTAAAAGGGGAAATAATTCATTTTACTATATTAACAATGTCACTCTGGTTTCCAAAACAGCTCTATGCATGTCCATCATTAATTTGTTTGATGAATTCAGTGGAATTTATTCCCATGTAAGTTTGTGTAACTGTAATGAATCTTGTTAATTTAGCATTGCTGTATATCCATAGTAGTATGTTTATCAAATTAACTTATATTGTTTAAAACATAAAGCATGGGATTTATTGTAATTATCTGCCATGACCTTTTGTTCTGGCTGAATTTTGTTTACAAGTTGATAACTAGCTAATTTTATTTCTGAATTTGAGAATTATAATGGTTAGTCCTTCAGCAGTCCTACAACTACAAGATGTAATATGAATATTGAACTTGATGACATTTACTAGGTGAAATAAATTGCTTTTAATATTTTGTCTCTTCCCCCATTTACAGGAAGGAGTGAAGACTGAAAATAACGATCATATTAATCTGAAGGTTGCAGGGCAAGATGGATCTGTGGTGCAATTTAAGATTAAAAGGCATACACCACTTAGCAAACTAATGAAAGCTTATTGTGAACGACAGGTGAGAAACCATATAAAACATATTTTGAATGATTTTTAAAGTGATTTGTAGGAAATTAAAGCTCTTTTACAATACATTACAATAAATATAGAGTTTAGCATTGTATTAAAGCACATTTGGTTATACATCTTGGTGTTCAAGAAAAAAATGGCAAAACAAAATCTTGTTATCTTGGTTGAATGTACTGTGATTATGCCATCTAGAGGCATAATTTAATAAAGATACCTTATATGAGTTAACTATCTAGATGACCACCAGATAGTAACGGTATCTTCTGTCTTTTGCTTTCCCATGTAACTAACCAAAGGTGGAAAAGAAATTATCTCTTTTTTTAGTGCAGGTTTTCTCAGTAGTATGTATTTTCTTTTATAATTATTGGATAAAAGAAAATGTGATTATGGATCCCAAGCAAATGGTACCTTAAACATAATTTGGAAAAACATAGCGCCTCTTCCGTGTTGTTTCCAGCAGTTACCAGGATTTGAGAGAAACGTTACCTTTTAATCATGGTATAAAGAAATGTCATAGAATTATCTAGTAATAGTATTAGTCATAGTATTATCAAGAAATACGGGACCATTTACTATAACAGTTTTGAAGACTTTATATATTTGAACTTTCCTAAACATTAAAATTCTATTCAGTGGGTTTGATGTTGCTAAACTACAATTCCAACATAGTTACTTTGATGAATGGCATTGCTTGATATTTAATTAGCAGATTCCTAGCTTCTGTATTAGAAAAAGATATTTATTAGGAATAGAGTCTCTTGGGACCAAGTACTCACATAAAGCAGCTTGGTATAAAGAAAGTCTCTACTGAACCATATCTGTTAGCATGAAAGTTGATAAAAAAAAATCCCCCCCCCCTCTGAGTTTGGGAGGACAGATGACACAAATCTGTATTTTGCTGTGCTTTGTGCTGTAAGAATAAATCAGAGGATGGTTCTTGATTGTTAATGTACAACAAAATTAGGTGTGGGGGCAGAAACGGCCAACTTGTATCTTGTTGAGTCTGGTCCTGCCTTGTACAAATTCTGACTGCAGTGGATCCAGGAAGGATTTTTAACTGTCTTTTGATACAGATATTTTAAATGCTACATTTATTTCAAGTTTTGTTGGTCTAACTATGCATCTGGTAAAACTTTTTCCAACTAAAAGGTTATTAAAAGGCATAATGTGTGCTGCAGCTTACTTTATCAAATGCATTGTATGACTAGACTGATGCAGGATGGAAACTGATGTAATCTAGCCATTCTACATGAAATGAGCTGCAGCTCAGAAAGGTTTTATATCTTTTAATAACGTTTGTTAGTTGGAAAAGGAGCTGCCACATACTTTATGCTACTATAGACTAACCTGGCTGGCCTACAAGATAGTCATTGAATATGAGTGCACTTTGGCTGAGCTGCTGTGCAATACTTGCACAAAATTTACCTTTCTATTTTTCAGTTACCAGAAATCATTTAAAATCAGATTATAGATTATGAAATACTAAACAATATTGCAAAAATACAGTTTAGCAGACACTGTAATTAATGGACAAAATCTACTGAAAGTGATTTATTGTGCTAGGATATTGGTAGCGACTCTGGGGGAAGCTAGGAAGATGTGGGACAATGGGTTATGCTACTATGGGAGCTGCCATAGGTACACACCAGCCTTGCTTTGCTTAACAGTCTTGCTTTACTCACTATTAGGGTTAGGGCAAGGGTAAACCCACGGTGGACATTCACTTTTATTGGTCTTTCCCCATTCCCATTCATAAATTAAATATGGGAATTTGCTACAATTGGCTTTATGCATTCCACTATGCATTTCTTTTGTTCATGGGTTATTAGTTAAGTTACAGTAGATGGTTTCCCATAACATAGTTTGCTACGAAGTGTGAAGTATGCCTGTAAACATTGTTAAATATTTAATTAAAAACAAAAGGTCACATGAATTTAAACAATGTGAACTTATTATACAGAATATTGTACAAAAATTTTTGGTTTTTTGGTATTAAGGGTCATTTTCAATTTATAAATATAGCACTACTAAAGTGTAGTGCTATATCCATGCAGCAGTTTCCTTAGTTTAGGAAATGTTGTTTGATGATTATAAACACTTATAATGTGTCTGCTATAATTTTTGAAAGTTGGTCCTGAAGTGCTTTAATCTTGGGTCTCTGTTGATTCTGAGATCACTGATGAACATTAATGCTGAATAAACTGAACATCTAATCAATATTTAATAATTTAAATAGGAAGCAGTGTGCAGTCTTAGAAGAATTCTGGTTGTTTGCTATTTCAACTGCATATTTTACTTATTTTTGAATTTATGTAGGGTTTGTCAATGAGGCAAATCAGATTCCGGTTTGATGGGCAACCAATCAATGAAACAGATACACCTGCACAGGTAAAAAAAGGTTCATTGAAGTACTTGCTGGTATGAAAAAATAAAATTTGATTAAGAGTATAAATCCCAAGAAATGTTTTTAAAGTAATCCTTACATATGTCTTTGTACCTAAACATTGCTTATGTCTGAAAGATACCGAAGTACAAATGAAAAAATTGTACCACTAAAGACTTGATGCAGCAGTTAAAAAACAGCAATATTTCAATGCCTTTAAAAACAGTTTGAACAGGTTTCCTCTTGCAACATGGCTTTCAGGTTGGGAATGGATATTTCTTCCTATTAACAACTGAAGATCCCAATTAGTTTAGACCTAAAAAGTAATATTAAATGTTTATAATATCTACCAAATGAAGTACTAAAAATAACTGTATAATAAAAATTATTGATTTGTATCCAAACATGCTTTTATTCGAGGAAAGAAGTCTGCTCTGAATTCTGTCAGTTCCTCTGCCCTGCTTATAGTAGAGGTATCATTTTTGGTTATTCCAGGGAGACTTTTAACTGAAAGGAACAGCTTTCAGTTACAACTGAAACAAGGCTTCAGTTAAAGTAAGATTCAAGAAAGCCCTATTGGCTGAACACCTATCCTTTCTTGAATTCAGCCTTCTAAGGGACAAGCTGACCAAAATCTTATTGCATAATAAAATGTCTCTTTCCAAATAGAGTTGAAGTGGGGGTGGGGGGTAATAAATAAACAGAAGAAAATGGAGTATTAGATTTGCATTACTTAGCAATCCAACTACAAGTTGATTTCTAGTTATGCTTTTTTGTTTTTTATACTCTTGGGAGTGTATGAAAAACTAAAGAAAACTTGTTATACTTATGTCACTTACTTCACTTGTCATGTGATAACATGATTATATCACTTATACTTTGAACTGACTTATGTATATTTTTCAATACAGTTGGAAATGGAGGATGAAGATACAATTGATGTGTTCCAGCAGCAGACAGGAGGCATGAACTAAAATAAAGAACCAAACTTCCTTTCCAACAGGCAACATATTCACAGTTAGAAAAAAAGAGACCTGATTCAGCCACATCTTGACTACTGCAGTATAGCTTTCTCTCTTCTTTGATTTCTTTTCTTATTCCTTCTATTGTACATAAAGTAACTGGTGTATGTGCACAGACATGCATATTTTTTTTAACTAAATAGCCAATTGTATGTTTTGATCAACATCATATGGAGAAAGGGTGGTAAAAACAATCTGGTCTGTGAAAACATCCCATTTCTCCACTAGTGGCATGCTCCTCTAACTTTTATCTTTATATTCCAGTAAGTTATTTTTGCTCTCATTGTTGGAAAAAACAAAAAACCTTACATACTTTGTTTGATTGGACAATTTCATTGTTTTTCTTTTATCGTTGTACAACCAAGGACAATTTTATAACTTTTTTGTACGTAGCTGTTACATGTAGAGCAATCTGTCTTTAAGTAGGGGTAAATTACTCTAAAACAAAAGTTTGATCTTGGATAGTTTTCCCTTCCGTCTTGTTGTTTAAATAAACTTCTTGTTTAAAATAAAACAGCTTATTTTTCTGTGCTGCAATCATGCTCAGCCTAGAACCAATCACCTAGTAAAAAGAGATAGAAACTTTCTTGCTGCTTCATCAGATTTTAATTTTAGTTTTTATATTTCTGCTGACAGTCCAGACAAGTTTTAAAGTACCAGTTACAGGGAGGCTGGCTGGATGTGAAGGGCACAGTAACCATCACTTCTTGCATGAAAATATTGGCAAGAAATGAGGGTTCTAATGTAAATTGCTAGATTGAAATGCTGTGTTTCTTTTTTAGTGGAAATTTTGGGATTGAAAGCAGCATGTTCTTCCTTTGTAAATGTAAAATATTTGGAAAGACAAGATGATACTGTGCCCAGTGCAGCTGATCTGCAGTCAGATGCTTGTGCTCGGGTATAGATAAGTTATCTGATTCACATGACTTGAGGACCGAAGAAGGGGAGTGCAAATGGAAACCCTATCCCTGCTTGTTTTAATATTGGGATGAGAGAGGCATAAGGTACTGTGGTTGTAGATGGAGCTAATAATCTTAAGGGATTAAGGGAAATGGTATGAGAAATATTTGACTTTTGTTAAGTTTTCAAACCGGCAATATAGAACTGTAAAATCAATATATATCCTACCTAGTTTGGCACATCAAATAGCTCTTTAGATATCATAATAGAAAGCAATGTGGAAAACAAATACTATTTGTTATAGTAGAGGAACTTGGTTAACTACTGATGAAGTAAAATTGCTATATTAACAATAGGATAAAAAGATACATTTGAAAATTTTCAGTTCTTGGCTATCATGCATTATATTTCTCATTAAGCGTATAGCATTACTTCACATCTATTAGGATGTGTTTTTTTAATACCTAATTGAGATATTGTTGTTTTTTGTCAAGCTTAGAATTAGTAATGTAGGCCCAGTACTGGTCTAGAACTCTAGCAGTAATGTGAAAGGCCCATTCATTTTATGTTAATACTTGAGAGTTTGAAAGTTACCAGAAGCCCCTTACTCATGGTGCAGGTCTGCTGCACTTTATGATTAAATTGCTTTGTTCCTTTTGATTTTGAAGGACTTCCGTAAGTACATTGCCAAGGTCGCAGAGATGAGACATGCCATTTAGTCAATAGATTAGAGCAATCTTCTGTAATATACTGATAGTTAGACATCAGGTTATATGTGTCCTTCTATTATACTTTTAAACAGAAGAAACTGTCCGGCTAGATACATAATGCCATGATTGTATTTGGAACACATAATCTACAAAATAATTTTTTTACAACCCTTCCCCATTATGTATGGTAATGCCCTCTAATATACATCAATTGTTAACTTCTGTAACACAATTTCAGAATTTGAGGGGATAGTTTAATCTTAAACAATTTTCTAAATTTCCCTGGTGGGATCTAGGAATTCATTCAGTATATTTTAAAAATACCTCAGTCTTAAGGAGTTTACTGACTTGCTTCAAATAAGAGGCAATGGCTACGTTATGAAATTGTGTACTTTCCTTGTTGCAATATAATAATAAAGTAATATTTTGTTCCAAAAATGGTGCTGCATATCCTACTCTGCGTGTGTGCAGTCCAGGTTTTCAGAACTTGGAAGCAAATTCATACTGTTTATAATCTTTAAGTATCTATTGTCAGTATCTGTTCTAGCAAGTTTCAGAAATATATTAGTTTATGCAACATAACTTCAAAGTAAAGGACATGCTGGATAATTAATCAAGTGACTTTTATTATGTTTATAATTTGCAACTAAGCCACCTGCACTGCTGAGTTTTCAGTTCTCTTCTCTTGAGCACAGAAGGAAAAGAATAAATTATAATGTAGGGATTGTATGTTGCAAAAATACCAAGTTACAGTGAACCACATTTCAAGGTCCAGAATGCCAAAGTGTAATTATCTCAAGATATGGTACATGGAAAAAAGAGAACATTCAAGGAATGTAGAATAAATTAAGCAATTTCAATTATTTTCTCCTTTTTGGAAACATCCATGATTCAAGATGATTGTATCACTGAATTCATCTTTTGCCTTAATGTTTGCATCTTTCTGTGGATCTGGCTATTGTAACTTGTAAAGATTACTGTTTAACATGAAAACCATGATTTAGCATAATATATGAATCAATTTTGCCTTTCTCATCTACCAACTCTTTTTCCCCTTTATGATTCTTGTAAATAGAAATTTACCTAAAAGGGCAACAGAAAAGATTGTAAGGATAGTCCATGAATGTGAAGATTTTTATCTTAATATCTTTGCCTTTTATTGCAATCGATATCACTGAACACTTTTTATAAGCTTGAGACCATCATGTAACAGCTTATTGTTCAGTTTCACTGAGTGTGGTGGTAGAACATGGAGTAACAGGACTTTGAAGCAGTAAAGTAATGCACATGTTTTCAGTTTTTGTTAATATATTGTTTTATTCTACATAGACACATATCTATGATGCTTTTCTATTTAAACACTCATCAGTTCTCGGGTATAAAGCATACATAACATGTTTGTATACATAAATTTTCAAGTAAAAGATATAGAAAAAATAATTTCTCCTTCAGCAAAATAGAATATTTGGATAGCTTTGCACACACATTCACATTTCTAATCAGAACTAAGTCCTGCTGAAGTAATTGAGAATTATTCCCTGGTAAATATGTTTGGATTATGGGGCAACTAGTAGAATGTATACTTAAAATATTTAAGCAGGGTTTTTTTTTTAAACAGCCTCATTTTAAAAAAGAGACTTGTAAAACAGCTTAATATGTAGAACAGTTTTCTCTGGTAGAAAGTGCCATTTCTAATCTTTCTGAAAAATTGATTTTGTTTCATGGGTCTCCTGCCATCTACCTAGGGTTTTTTCTCCCATATCACATCCAGATTGATCCACGCACCAGTACAAGATACTTGTTCATTTTTCCCGTTCATGGTGTACAGTATATATATCATAGTTAAGTATGGGGCTGAGGGTATCATTCTCTAGAAAATAATGATTTAAGGTGCCTGCTGAAGCAGCGATTTGGTGGAGGTATGTTAGATGATACGTATTTTGATACACACTTTGTATTTTACTGCATTGGCGTTAATTTTCATTCGATTCCACCCGCATCCCAAGAGGGATTGAAGATCCCTCGCCGGCCGGGTCTCGCTAAGCTATGCCACTCCCTTTGACCGGATCTCTTCCAACTGCTACTCCATAAGGAAAGACTGAGGAAGTTGTTGCTGCCTCATGTGCAGTCTAGCCAATGCTAAACCATTTTTATTTAAATGACAGCTTCGTCGTTAAATCGCATGCCCAGAAGCGGGACAGGGAGCAACGACCAATGGGCGCGAAGTAACAGCCGCTCTCGGCCAATCGGCTCCCAACGAGGGTGGCGAGTAAATGTTGCTGGGCTCGGGGGCGGAGCAACGTCCGGAGTGGCACGAGGCTCTCTTAATCACGTCAGGAAAGGGCGTTTGAACTATCCAATGAAACGATCGAAGGAACGAACCCTATAAAAGAAGCCGCCAGCGCCGAGTGGCTATTGCAGTCGTAGCCGGCAGGAGTTGTGCGCGGAAATATCACCTTCCGCTGGCCTCGTATCCGGGCGATTTCCTCCAAGTTCTTCCCCATCATGACCACCACCACCACTTACACGGGGATGGACCCCAGTGGCCGAAGTAGCTCCAGGTTCGTGGGTGGGAAAGTGTCTTGTCCGCAAGAAGTTGCTTGTCCGTTCGCTGTTCCTGACGGCGGGGCTGCCTTCGCCCGAGATGCCCCGTTTTCTCCGGGAAGGGACCGTGCGGCGAAACGCCCCGGTTTTCGGGGTGGCGCGCCGTGCTGGCTCCACGGATTCCCGGCTCGACACCGGGAGAGACGCGGAGAAGAAATCCACCTCCCGCCAACCCTGGGTGGGATTTCTTCTCCTGCAGGGAAGGGCTCCCTTTCTTGGGATCGGGGGCCTGCGGATAACATTTCCCACCGCCCGCCTCTGCTCCACTGGTCGGCGGAGAGGAGGCGAAAGGCCGGGGTGGGTGGGTGGGTGGGTGGGTGCTATTGTCACCCCGGCGCTCCCGCCTTGCCGGCACACGCCCGGCGCCTCCATCTGTTGAGTCGGCGAGACGGGAGCAGCCGTGTCTCCTTGTTATCCGCCTGGAAGCCGGGCAGGCGAGGTGTCGGCTCCGCTCCGCTGCCGTCTAAGGCCTTGGCACTCCGCCGATCCGGTGGCTTTCTCGCCCCTTTGTGGGTTTCGGGAGCGGGGCCTGGCGGGGAAAGAAAGAAACCTGTAGCAGCGGACTTCGCCTTTTCCGCCGCCTGCTCTGGGGCTCTCGGGAGGGCTGGTTGTGCCTGCGTCACATCTTTCTGGCTTTCCTTCAGCTTAGCGGCACGACTGCGGGGTCATGGCAAGTCTAAGCGATGTTCCTCAGCACGGAGCGCCCTTCGGCTCCGGTCGGAACAAAGGAGACTCTTACTCCTGGTAGTTGAATTAGAGGCTTTCGACCCTTTTCTCTCTCTCAGCCCCGGCACGGTTATCGGCTTATCCTTTTTTGTCTTGCAGTTCAGTGGCTTAGTCTGGCTAGGCTTCCTCTACTAAGTGGTTCTTCTCGCTGGGTGGGGCTAGCCACACTTCTTTTGTCTTGCATCTATCGCGGCCTCTCTCTACCTGTTAACTCAAGCCTTCGGGGCCGGGATTAGCAACTTCCAAGCATTCTTTGAAAAGCTGCTTCCTCCTCGGCTCCAACTTCTGCCAGTCAGAACAGGGATAGGTACTTCAAGCAAGGCCGGTTAGTAGGAG